GTCCCCTGCCTAATCAAATTATCTAATTAATAGATGCAAGAGACGGGACCTACGGTTTATTCGTCCTTATCCGAGAAGACCAGAATGTCTATCCATGTCTTGATATTATAGAAAGGTAGCACATTCTGCTCAGTTATTTTAAGACCGTGAGTGTTGGTCCGGCCGGGGCTTGAACCCTCGACCTCCCACACAACAGTCCAGCGCTCTAACCAATTGAGCTAACCGGGAGGCGGTTACATTTTGCAAACGGTGTTCGAGACCTGGCAAGGTGCTCTTGGGCAAAAAAACCTTTACTTTCACATTGCCTCTCTCCTCCCAGGATAATATTTGAATGCCAACCATTGATAAGGAAGTATGATGAGGCTAGTCCAGTGCAGGGGGGGTAGCCCTGCACTGGACTAGCCTCTCATAAGCTCCTGCTCAATGGGCCATTTACCTTGAGTACAGACTCAACCTATACCTATAATTTGTTTTTGTATGACTTACTAAAAGAGACCTTTAAATTATCAGGAAATCAAAGGAAAGGGTGAATTATTGCTCGGACAAAGATACAAAACTGATGAAGACGTCTTTAAAGAAGGGCAAGCTTTTGTCGGGGAGATCAGCCATCTAAACATTTGGAACAGGACGCTGTATACGGCCACAATCCAAGCAATGTATCAAGGATGCGATTCAACGGGAGGAAACTTTTTCGACTGGTCATCGTTCCTTTCCGGTCACGTGGTGGGTCAAGTTACCAGGGAGACGTCGGCAGAATGCACGTTTCCAGGTCTGTAGGTTGTCTTTAAATTGTGTGCCTTTCGTCAAGGGACATTGGTATTGTGATACAGATAAAAACACTTTCCTACCTTTTCTGAGGTTTACTTGGTTACGTTTAAAGGTAACCTAGGCAACAAGATCTCGGCTTAGGGCTTCGGAAAATAAAAGGTACTCTCCTTTCAATTGCGGCTTTAGTTGTTTCATTTCTGTCATTCTCTTATTCATCTACTAGTTATAGTATTTTATGATGCATGATGCATCAGATCTCCTTGGTCGATATCCAATATTTTTAACACGTTCTAAAGCCGAAATTGAGAATGCAATTTTACAAAAGGTTTCAAAATTAAAAATAGCGCATTCTCTTTACGCTGGTTTCCCTTTTCAGACGAAGTAATCCGATCCAAAAGAAATCTCTTCTGTGAGGGAATGACGAAGGATGGATGTTCATCTCCTCTGTATGCTCTGTTTGACGGAACGGAAAACTCAAGAGCCAAGAAATGGAGATGTTACTTCTCGGACGCTTTGAAGCAGGACAACTTTGGTCTGTTAGCGTACGACTATGCGAAAAAATCAACTTGTTACATAACAATTTTCGGCCCAAACTTTTATCACGTTACATGATTTAATCTACGGATGGGGTTCAGATCAGTACCTGACCACTCCAAATGGCCCGGGTTAAAGTCCAAACAAAGGGTGTGCCTAAGAGGGGGCCACCAGGAACACGTTACCCCTCTCTCTCCCTCTCTCCCTCTCTCCCTCTCCCTCTCTCTCTCCCTCTCCCTCTCTCCCCCTCGTCCTTCAAGGAAAAATGATTAGTAATGAAAACCATGTAAAACTTGCATGATGCAATATCAGTTACCAGTAGAACGGAAGGATAGTCATTCTGCAAAAGGTCGTTTCTCCTCAATTATGATCGAGTCTTTAAACAGGAGCACAACGATTGTGAATTGAACAGCATGAAGTCGAGTGTTTTGATTACCCTGAATTTTAATTGAAGTGATTAACTCTCAACAACAGGACAAAACAGCGGTCACTTTCAGTGTGAATAAAGTTACCTTGTCCAATTTCATACCCAGGGTCTCTCGACCTTCCACCATTAAAAGACTATAGAAACGAGGTTTTTACTCAGATCAGAGCCTCCCTGTTTACCATTCGCCGCTTATATTACAGATCTATAATATTCTGCCCATGATATGGAGCCTTAAGAGCGATCTGAAAGAAAAGATTTGAAGCTGGCATTAATCATTTTAATATAGGAAAAGCAGCACTCAAATCACCGGAATTTGATAGTGTGGGCAATAATAATAGAATTTAAATTTTAAAATTCGAAAGAGGCTCACGCTAATTTGTTCCATGATTTAAGCCGCTGATCCTAAGCAGTCTTCATTACTTACTGTAAACTTATTCGTCGATCAATTCCAAGTTTCAACATCCCCTATGGGCAACTTTTGAAGATTAGCTTGTTTGAATTCCCCCCCACCTCCAGACCAAAATTGCATTCAAATGCCCTACTCAATATCTAACGTTTCTATGTGCGATCAACGAATGTTGTAGAATTTGGCAAAGTCTCGTGTTAGTTTTTGGTACATCTGTTGAGTTTTTCGTTTGCAATCATCATTTTACGATGTGTAAATTGTCAGGTCATTTCTCACAAAAGCAGACTCTATACGTATAACCTCCTCCACAAGACACGTGTAAAAAGACTAAACACTTCCTGTTTAAATGTCCTACCCACCCAAATAGGGTTAAAATTCCCCTTCCCCCGAGCGCGGACGACAGTCAAACGTCCGCGGGTTGCTTGGGGGCATGTTGAAGCTCTAAATTGATCGTTGCATAAATGAGTTTTTATAATTTTCTTAATGAACTCCTAAATTAAAACTAATGGTGGGTATTGAACAGGATCTGCTACGTTGTGTTTGTAAAGCAATTACCTTAGCTTACCTTCATGTCACAAATCAGTTGATAGGATTACATAAAAATGTCATAACTTAAAACCTCTACTTCAGAGAAAAAAAAAGAAAATAATATCCCATTATTTTCTCTTGCCCAACTATATTGCTAGAAGCTCTTTCCTAGGACTTTAAAAAAAACAAAAAATTATGATGATAGCGCCCTTCTGGGCTTCACAACACTTTATGGGGACTTTGGCCAAACTTCATTGAGCAATTTTGCAATTTTCTAAGGAAATTCTTGCAGATGCCCCCATGGCAATTTTGGCATCAAGTTCAAACCACAACACTAGGGGCTACATTACCTAGCCTTTGCGAGAAATGCATGGGTTCTTTGACGTCTCTTGGACTTTCAGTTTTTTGTGAGGAATACCAAGATTTGAACAAATTTAAGTAATTATTCAGTTGTGGACACAGGGATTTGGGTAAGAAACAAGACTGATTTGAGAGGAGTGACAAGGGTGTAGCCAGGAATTTTTGAAAGGTCACACTAAGTCAATCAAAGAATACTCGCCACAGGATTTCAAGTTGTTTGCTTAGAAGCTTAGAAATAGGCTTACAAAGGGGGGGGGGGGCAGGAGCACCCCAGGACCCTCCCCCAGCTTCCTTATATCCCTATATCTCGCATCTCTCCACACCCCTCCTGTGACTCTCTCCAACCCTTCTATACTGCTCCCAAACCTCTCCACAAACTTGTTAACCCCCTTATGATTTCCCAGGGGTCCTGTTTCACTTATATTCTACTTGATTTACGAAGTTTTAGTGCTAGCATCAAAGAAAACCTACATCATAGTATTCAAGGAGGTATACAGTTTTATTTTGATAAATATAGAGCCAACGATCGATCAAAACATAACAGCAAAATCTTTGAGGCAATCCTTCTTGTAATGATTAATCTTTTTTTCCAACTTGAGCATTAAAACCCGTTGATATGCCAATGTTTACAATATTTCATTCCTTCCTGCTTGGCATCAGTAGTGTGTCATTGGTATGTCAGCTGATGTGTCTGTCAACATGTTAGCCAGCACATCGGTAACTTTGCAACCTTTATTTTCTTCAAATTATGCAAACACAACATACCTTGTTCTTCAGATGTTCTCAGTAGTAAAAGTATTTTATAAGAAACCGAGCATATTATTTCTACAAAAAATCAGGAATATCAGTCTATTAATTTTCTTTGAACAGTATTTAAAGAGCAGCTTTGGTATTTATTATTGTAAGGCAAGAGAACTAAAAAAATTTAAGACAAAGATCTATAGACCTTGACTCTCACTAGTTATTAGAATTTAAATTACCCCAGCTGTCTTATATTAAGACTGTCATACAGGAGGTAGTAAGAATTAAGAGAACTATTTACTAGTCTTTGAGAGATAGACTAAAATTGTTTCAATTCGATACTGCATTCTCTGGATTGACCAGTAAAGAAATATTTAATCACCACTTGGGAGAACTGGCTTTTAGATACTGGGCCCACACATTAGGGAATGTAATGATGTAGACATGTGCTGTTTTAGGTGGAAGAGTTAGCAAGAGACAGTTTGTGAGTGTTAATTTGTCAAGAATTATAGAGCATTTTACAAGGAAACTGGAGTTAACAAATGTCCTCAAATATATATATATATTTATATAAAGTGTGACTTGATCTTCGTAGAACAGTGCTCAATACATAGAAGTAGAGCGAAGTATATATTGCGGGAGGAAAAAGACAAGTAAACTACAAGTTCATCCCTACAAGCCTGTTTCGTGGTCGCCCACTCATCAGGCGACCACGAAACAGTAAAAACGTAAAAAAACTTTATCCTTGAATCGGAGAGTGCTGTACAATCATGGAGCTTTGTAAACAATTAACAACGCTATCATCACCAGCAGTAAAGTAAACCAGTGGAAAAACACCTCAAGTGTCCTAAAATGGTTTAATAGTTTAGAAAACAAGAGCTCTCTTTCATTCATCTGTTTCGACGTTTGTGAATTCTACCCCTCCATCACTGAGAAATTGCTCTCCAAAGCACTAGATTTTGCCTCTAACTACTGCCCAATCAACAGCCATGAGCGTGAAATTATCTTGCATGCTAAACGATCTCTGCTATTTAACGATGATTGCCCATGGGAGAAAAAGTCTGCCAGCAACCTCTTTGATCTTACCATGAGGTCCTTCGATGGAGCGGAAACGTGTGAGCTGGAGCTGGTTGGATGCTTTCTCTTATCAATTCTTACTGAGAAGTATGGTCAAAATATTGGTTTATACCGGGATGATGGTTTGGCTGCCCTCAATGGAACACCGATGGAACTAGAAAATATCAAGAAAGGTTTTTGCAAAGTCTTCCGTGACAATGACTTCAAAATCACAGTCGAGGCTAACAACACCTAAACCAATTTTCTAGACGTCACGCTTGACCTCTCACGTGGGAAGTATTACCCTTCTACCAAGGAAGGCAACATCCCCCTGTACGTGCATAAAAAATCCAACAACCCACCATCCATTCTGCACAACATCCCTGAATAAACAAATAGGAGGCTCTCCGAGATATCTTCCGACAGGGTATGCTACGATAGCGGTAAACCTATTTATCAAGAAGCTCTAAAAAAAAGTGGGTATAGCTACATCCTGTCAATCAACGCTGCATCAAACCAGGCACCACGTCCACGAAGAAACAGGCAGCGGAACATTACATGGTTTAACCCACCATCCAGCAAGAACGTGAGATTAACGTCGGAAAATGCTTCCTTGCACCTATTGATAAGCATTTCACAAAAACTAACCCTCTTCACAAAATTTTCAACCGAAACACCCTTAAACTGAGCTACAGCTGCATGGGCAGCATTAAAACTGTCATATCTAACCACAACAAATCTGAAATCCGGAAACTCGCACGCATTAATGATCGAGCTAGGAAAAGCTGCAACTGTAGAAAACCTGACATATGCCCCATGGATGGAAGCTGTAACATGGAAAGCATAATTTACCAGGCAGAGGTCACCACAGAAACCGCAAAGGAAACGTACATTGGTCTCTGTGACACCGCTTTTAAAATGCGTTACAGGAACCACTTGTGTTCATTCCGAAACGAACGTTACAGGCATGCTACTGAACTTAGCAAATATATATGGAGTCTTAAAGATAAGGACACTAAGTTTAATATTAAGTGGCGCAAGGTGAAACAAGCTAGTTCGTATTCCAATGTAGCTAAAAGATGCAATATGTGTTTGTGGGAAAAATATTTTATTATTTGTAAACCGCAAATGGCAAGTTTAAACAAAAGAAATGAGCTGACATCAGGTTGCAGACATGTCAGGAAATTCCTGTTAAAGAACGTAACGTTACGATAGCGCGTGCAGTATGTTGCGCGCGCATGTACACATTGTTCTGTCTTTTAAATTTCGGTGGATTGTAACCGTTATTTCTGGCAGTTGCCTGACGATTGCTTCGCAAGAGGCATGAAACTCAGAGTTGCAGTAAAAGTTCAAGTAACCTAAATCTTGATCATATTAATA